ATTATTGAATTAAATGACAAACAACATGAAGAACTCACCCATACCAATATGCAAATCACCATAGGATTTCAACATCTGTCAGATAAAGTTACTGCACTAACAGAGAATCTGCACAACTTCATGCATTCGTCTACCTCGAGGATTGATTCTGTCTCCAGAGATGTTAGTGGACTCAATTCTGTTCTCCACTCTCACTCTCAAGCTCTGCTTGCCCAGAACCAGACAATCAACAAGATCTCAGAATCTGTTCACACTCTTCAGAAATCTGCTGATAGTTCCTCCCAGAAACTCAACATCTTACACTCCCTCTGCAAGGAACATCAAGAGCAAGGCCTAGCTCTTCTCAAATCTGACAAAGAAAGGTACCAGAAGATGGTGCTCCTAGAGGTCAGCACCAGGGATCTTCAATCTGCAGTAGACAAGCAACAAAGCCTGATTGAAGGACTTGCCTCTGTCACTCAAACTCTGCCAGAAACCCTGGATGAAATCAGAGATGCTCAAGCCTCTGAGTTCTCCAAAATTGAACTTCTCCTTGGTGATCTTTGTGATGCCAAAAAGGGGGAAGAGACCAGAGAAGAAGAAGGACCCAGCACCAGAGCTCTTTCTATCAGAGAACCCTCCTCTGTTGATCCTACTCCTTACTTTGATGCAACTAGAAAGAAAAGGCTAGCTGCTGCAGGTACCAGACCCCCACCTCCTCCTCCTAGAAGCTCAAAGAAAAAGCCTTCATCCTTTTCATTCACTGATTGGATGAAGAGTGGTCTGTCAAGGCCAGATAGAGTTCAATTTGAACAGATGAGGAAATTGATGACTCCTCTTCAAAGAGAGAATCTGTTCATGGACAGTGATGGACTTGTCCAGATCAACCATGGTGGTTCGATCCAAGAAGCTGAGATGTGGTACGGAATGAAGATTCTGAATGGCAAGAATTCTGCAGAAGTTGTCAGAAACTATTTGGATTGCAAACTTGCACACCATTGGGCTGACTATCAGAATCCGAGGGATCTAGCCTCAATCAGAGCAAAGGTAAATGCTGAACTAGAAAGGATTGACAGAGCAGGACCACAGGTAGATGAAGAAGATCTCTAAATTCTCTATCTCTGACTCTGTAATGCTTTACTTTCTCTAACAGTTTAATAAGATACCAACTCTGCCTCTCTTTTTGCTTGGCTCTTTTCAACTATCTGTTCTTTTTACTTTCTTGTGTATATTCTGTTATCATACTTGATTATTGCTATCTGATTGTACCGCGTACTCTTACTATCTTCCTATGCTAAGTTGCCCACCAAGATTTTAATGAAAAGTTTTTTTAACTTTATTTTTTTATGGTGAAAGGCACTTCTCTGGAAATAGTTAAAGGGTTTTGGCATCATCAAAAAGGGGGAAATTGTAAGGAATAAATGTATTTAGATTTTGATGATGCTAGGTTTATTAGAATTTGAAAGTACCCCATTAGAAATTGTGTATTAGAATTTCTTTTGTAAGTTTTAGCTTAGTCTGCCTGCCAGAGTTCCATCTTGCCTCTACCAGAGTTGCTCCCAGAGTTGCTCACCAGAGAAGCCATCAGAAACTGGTCATCAGAAAGATACCAGAGTTGGCAACAGAGACGGACTTCAGAGATTGGACCAGAAAGCCTCTTCAGACTCTGCTAAATCCACCAGATTCCGGAAGCCCTTCCAACGGTCGTTAAACTAACGGGAAATCCCCTAACAGTTACAAACCTTTCAACGGAAGCATGACACTGTACACGCATTAAATGCACATTTAATGTTGTACATACGAAGAGATACTTAAAGCTGATGATTGACCATGCGAGTATCTTTACGCCCCCAAAATAGCAAGTCGGAGGACCAAACGGTCAAGTCAACAGTACATGCATTTAATGAAGCTGTCTTCTACACTCCAACGGGAAGACTGCTCCCAGTATATAAGATACACTCTGAAGAACTAAGAAAATAACTTTGCCAAGATAAATTTGCGTAAACAACCTTCTTGAGATTAAAAACTCCATTCCTAACAAGAAAAGGCCACAGTTGGAAGATAAATCTCCTATCCTTCATCCAACTAGCAAAAGGCAAAGTTACTCAGTTCTTCAACACTTCGAGAGCTTCATATACTCATCTTTTGTGAAGAAGCAACGTTGGAGAAAACTGATTCTATATCAAACACTTCTTGAAAAAGAAGGGACGTCTCAAATTAGCTGGAGTAAGTGAAGTGGGGATACTTCAAGAAACTCAGTGAAACGAGACCAGCCATCAGGAAGCAGGACTGCATCCCGGGTGGCAACTAGACTTGAAGAAGACGAGGAGTGCTTCTTAAGTTCTAGGGACTAAGGCGTTGTAAACTGTTGTTTTTGCAAGCTTAGTGGAACAGTGGACTAGAGGAACAAGTTGTTCCTTGAACCACTATAAAAACCCGGTGTCATTTACTTTAAGCTTTTAATTACTGCACTTAAGATTCTACTGACTAACTCTTAAGGTTGGACTCTGTGTCCAGCAGATCTTCCTTCAGAGTTATCAGAAAGGCACTTTGCCTTAGCTTTCTTCTAGAGGCTACCCGGACAGAAACTTATCCGCTGCCTGGTCTAGTTCTGCCATCAGAACTTGACCATCTCTGTCACCAGATTTCGACCATCTCTGATAAGTCAGACTTGACTTGGAGAAAAGTTTAAATTCCTGAACAGTCTATTCACCCCCCCCCCTCTAGACTGTTCCCATTACAAACGGGACCAACAGTCCCGAAACCGGCCCGGATAGCTATCGGGTCCGGGTCGGGCCGGTCTACCCGACCGAATATCGGGTCAGGATGGGACTGGTACGGGCTATTTTTTTATGTTGTTTACAAATTAATTCAAGAATTGCCAGATATAAAACAGTTTAAGCATATTTATTTGAAATATGAATTACAATTGAGAATTCAGAAAAATTTAAAACATGAAATACATTTTCTAATAAATAATAATCAATCGGAATCTCCGCAATCTTCGGTTGTTTCCTCCATAAAGTGGCGGGTGGAGGCGATGCTCACTTCTTGAGTTTTACGTTGGGCCTTCAACCAATCGTGAAAGCAAACAAGTGTCTCAAGAGAGTTTGCGCTCAATCTCGTTCTATAATCCGTTAGCACGTTGTTGGCCGCACTAAATTCTTGTACCCCCACCCCCCACCCCCAAACCCCCAGGACCTCCCTCCAAGCCTCCAACGGCTATAGAACCGTTTGAGACTTTTCTCAATGGCTAGGAGGCTGCAAATTAATTAAAAAAAATTAAAAATTAACCGTTATAGACCTGGTTCGGGCCTAGTGGACCGGGCCCGGGCCCAGTTGGCAGGCTGGGTCGGTACTAAACAGTAGTGGGCTGGGCCGAGTCACAGACCGATCTACCCGGAACCGATTCACCCCTACTAATACGAAGGAACAATAATTAATATGGTCCAAATTTGAAAACCAATTCCGGTTTGAAATAGAAGTATGTTTAAGAACCAGGTGCACTATGATTTCAAGTTGAGTGCTCAATGAAGTTCATGAGTTCAAATATGCGTGTTTCAAATTCATCTTAACTTTTTTGTTTGATCTGATCCGATAGATGTCTATGTATGTTTTATAATTGTCAAAGACTGATCCGCTTGTTTAAATCCAGTGTAGATTCTTCTGGTTTAATTTGATTTGAGATTGAAACTAATTCAATTAAAAAACATGTTTAAAGCACATTCACTAACCTTATACTCGATTAGATTTGTGTGCATATTGATTCTACCGTTTAAATGTGGTCTCTATACATCCTCTAAAATTAAAGAGGATGTGTAGTCTTCAATAGTTCAATGTGTAGAGTTTTTTTCTATAAACTTTAATTTGGATTCTCTAAAATTGCAAACATGAATTCTATCTCCCCCTTCCCACCATATTATTTTGATGTTGTGGAATCCTCCATTCTTTGATGATGCACTATTTGAACAATGTAAATAATATGGAGTATGAGCAAGAGGATTAGAGGAACGCGTTAGTTTTCATTGCTTGAATATACTTTCTCATAATGTTCACTTCCTATGATTAGTAATTTCGTTTAGTGATTTCATGATTTAAAATCACCTGATGTTTTTGGTGCTATTAAGACCCTAATCTGTGATTTTTTCTTGTTGGTAGGATATAGACAATCACCTATTTTTTGTTGCAAGAAAATAGGTGATTGTTATATGAAACTGTTATTATTATTATAAGTGCTCATTTATCTTGGTGTAGCAACTTGTTGAGAGGCCATTTGAGCTTGTAAAGATATTAGTTATATATTTCTGCAATATCTTTCTGTTCTTCCACTTATGAGTGCAACACCTAATGCTCTGGAACAATGAATCCAATCCACTGGTAGCCTGAGAGGAGGAAGACACAGTCCTTCTCTCTCACACTCTGACCTTAGCCTCGTCGATGCCCTGTGGTTTTCTCTGATATCATTTTTGTGCTTCCTTTCAAACTCATGAACATAGTGGTTTACCATGTTGTAGTCAAACTCCACACCTCCCAGGAGAGTGTCACCTGCAGTGGATTTAACACATGCAGAGAAACATCACAAGTACGTACAACCGCGAATATCGAAGACAAACACATTCTTCTTCCACTAGCTGCTTGCTTTGTTGCCCAAATAATATGCAATTGCAGCTGTTGTAGGGTTCATCAATGATGGACATGACATTGAGACCGAAAACGACTCCAGCAACCTTCATAGCCTGGCATTGGGAGTGATTGAAATAAGCAGGGACTGTGAACACTGCAATCTTGATTGCTGTTCGGGTCTTCCGGTATAGGCCTCTGCAATCTACTTCATCCTTGTTAGAACCATTGTTGGTCACTACTATCATTGGCTTGTCACAACGTCCAGCAACCACCTTGAAAGGCCATTACTTCATGTCACTCCGCACTTAGCGATCACTGAATCTCCTCCCAATCAATCGCATAGTGTCTAAACAGATTGAAGTAAGAGATTTTTCAGTCCAAAATCATATACGGGAAAAAGACTACTATCAAGAAATGCATGTGTCAAGGACCATGTTATAGGTACAAAAAGACTAGTCTTACAGAATGCAAACATGACAAGATCATATTCCACAAAATATGACATCACATTTGGATCAAAGGTTGTCACGTGAGCCACATGTGCATTTTTCCATGTCTGTCTAAACTGGTAGTTTTAGCATTAAATAGTGTATTCCGTTTTATCGTAAGATACTCTCTCCATCCCTTAAAACTTTGTCACTTTCCCTTTTAATCAAGGGATTTGTGGTTCCTATTAGTTCTCTCTCCTCTGCACAAATCTCAACCACACAGTTTTTACTTTATTATTTCTTGTGCCAATCAAATTTGACAAAGTTTTGAGGACGGAGGTAGTATTATTTTATCAGTTATGAGTGGGAGGGGGGCTTCTCCCCGAGCTTTTCTCCTGGCCCTCTTGAGTCTCTAGCCACTCAAATACAATTTCTTTCATTCGAGCCTTTGCCGCTTTGTCGATGGCTTGGGCATACTCCTCCTGGGACCTTTTGAAGGCCCTCACAGCCTCAATTGAAGAGTTCTGAGCCTTCTCATTCCACTTCTCCATCTGCTTCTTGTACTCCTCCATTTTGTCTAAAAGGTCTTTGTTTTCCCTCTCCAGGTCGACAACCCTTTTCTGGTGGATCTTCATCTCCCGGCTGCTCCTTTGAGATAATTCCACGAAACGGCGGAACAAAGCCTGCAACAGGTAAGGGATAGGAGATTAATGTCATATTGAACTCAAAATTCACGAGGAAGAGAGAGAGAGAGAGAGAGAGAGAGAGAGAGAGAGAGGTTAACCTCAAAGCAGCGGTGCATTATGCCTTCCTCTAAAGTGGGGAGCTTGAGAGTCCCTGACAGTTGCTGGTCCTGTGTGGGCAGCCATCTCTTAGTGAACTCCTTTAAATCTACCTCCCCTTGGAGGACCGAGGAATTGACAGCCTCCTCAGGTCTAGGACGCTTTGACACACGAAGCTGTGCACTTGAATGAGTCTGGATTAAAAAAACGCAAAGAACATAAGATAAGACATGGTCAATCCATTAAGGGGAGGAAGAGAGTGGGAGTGGTCCAAGTGGACCACTTTCCATGCTTAAGATTTTTACGAAGGGGTTCTTAAGTTCAAATCACTAAAAAGGTAAATTTGGGAGGCTTTTCTTAAATGATGATCCTCTAGCCCTGGGGCTAGTTCGAGTGGTTGTGCAATTAGTGTTTCATCTAGACTCAAGCCACACTTTAGCAGTAACTTTTCGTTGGGAACTTAAACTCGATGGTGTTTGACCAATCAGTGGTGATTAAAAGGAACTGTGCTGGGAACCTGATAATACACACAACTAATCAGTTAAGAACGATTTCTTGTGCACGTAAGAGTATAGATGGCAGTGGGAACCTAGAGGATTGTTCAAATGACTCGGATTTACTTCTCTAAAGGACTTAAGGTGGGTTCTCGGGGACCTATGATAAGTTTGACGAAGTCAAGATCACCTAGTGCTAACAAAAAAAGCAAAAGAATGACAGGCAGAACATACCGCTGTTCTGTCAATTTCATCCACGGAGAGCCTTCCCTTAACTTTGTTGATGGTGATCTTACCCATCTGTCCTGCCGTTTTGTCTTCTGTAGAGATGTTTAGAATACCGTTGGCATCAAAGTCAAAGCGGACAGAGATCCGTGCGACACCCTTTGGGGCTGGTGGAATGCCCGACAGCACGAATTTGCCCAACAAGTTTTTGTCCTCTGTCATGACCTTATCTCCCTCGTAGACCTGGATCAGCATGCCAGACTGGTTGTCTGACTTAGTGTGGACAATGTGCTCTTTAGTGATGGGGACGATTGTGTTCCCCGGGATCAGAACTTTCAGAAAACCACCAGTCTTCTTCAGGCATAGAGACAGTGGAGTGACATCCAACACACACAAATCTTGAACCTTCCAGACTCCTTCTCCGACTAACATTGCAGCATGAACCGCAGCACCATATGCAACCGCTTCGTCAGGGTTGATGCTTTTGCATAATATCTTCCCAGTGAAGAAATCCTGCAACAACTGTTGAATCATGGGGATCCTAGTAGATCCGCCCACGAGGACAACATCATGGACACTCCTCTTATGCATCTTCGCGTCTCTCAGACACTTGTCAACTAATTCAATACACTTCCTGAACAAATCCATGTTCAACTCCTCAAACTTTGCCCTCGTAATGGTTGGGTAAAAATCAATACCCTCAAAAAAAGAATCAAGTTCAATGGTGGTCTGAGAAGCGGAGGACAAATTCCTCTTTGCCCTCTCACACGCTGTCCTCAGTCTCCTCAATGCCCTAGGGTTTACACTTATATCCTTCTCATGTTTCCACTTGAACTCATGAACGAAGTGATCCACCAGTCTGTTGTCGAAATCTTCACCTCCCAAATGAGTGTCACCTGCAGTGGCCTTGACCTCAAAGATTAAATCTTCTATCGTGATAAGAGAGACATCAAAAGTACCACCGCCAAGGTCAAAGATGAGGACGTTCTTCTCACCCAAGCTGCTTGCTTTCTTATCCAGACCATATGCAATTGCAGCTGCGGTGGGTTCGTTGATGATACGCATAACATTGAGGCCAGAGATGACTCCAGCATTCTTAGTGGCCCGTCTTTGGGAGTCATTGAAGTGTGCAGGGACAGTGATCACCACATTCTTGATTGTGGTTCCCAGATAAGCCTCTGCAATCTCCTTCATCTTTGTTATAACCATGGAAGAGATTTCCCCAACAGAAAACTGCTTCTCCTCACCCTTGTAGTTGACTACTATCCTAGGTTTGTCACCAGGTGCGGCAATCACCTTGAAAGGCCACAGCTTAATATCACTCTGTACTAAGGGATCGCTGAATCTCCTCCCTATCAAACGCTTAGCGTCTAAAGTAATTCCAATAAGGCATATTTGAAATCACCATTAGGTTCCATGTAGAAACTGCCAGAATCAATAGCAATGCAGTATACAGAACAAGTCTTTTTCTGTTACTCTCACACAATGTTATACCGAAGACCTCATAAAGATTATTTGTGTCATTATATGTTGTGTCAATATAGAATAAAGCCTAAAATCCGGAAATCTTAATAAATTAGCTAAATATGGTATAAATGTTTGCTGTAAATAAAAATAATATCAGAACCAAGGCAAGGAACGTACCAACGACTGTGTTAATGGGGTTCAGGGAGACTGTGTTCTTAGCGTCCTCGCCAATGAGAAGGCCGGCGTCCGTGAACGCCAGGCAGGACGGCGTCTTTTTGTTCCCGTGGTCATTCGCTATAATCTCTACATGGTTATCTCGCCACACTCCGACGCTTGAGTACGTCGTTCCCAAGTCGATTCCGATCGCCGGCCCTTCATATTTTCCGGCCATAACTTTATTTCCTCAGAACCCCCGCCGGAAAGTCAGTCTTCGACGCTCTCAGTGATATCATAGCTTCCCTCGGTACTTGATGCGAAACCTTTGGTTTGCTTCTGTTCAATTATCAGCTCATTAATTAACTAAGTAATTAATTGGACTTCTCGGCCATTACAGCCACAGAGGCGGGCATAGGGTACTCTGAGCTCGTGCCGTGAGGGAGGGGATGAATAGCTCAAACACCCACATTTGGGGCTATTCACCACTGCCAGACAACAAATTCAGACAAGGGCTCCATCACCTGCAACGCGCAAGAAAGAGCTCAGCAACCAAATGGTTCCAGCGCAGGCGCTGCACGCACTGCGCACGCGAATGGGAAAGCAATAAAAGCTTTTATTTCTAAGGGTCGGTTTACTTTCCACTTAGGTGCAGATGGTAATTGTGACAGAACATGGATACCTTACCCGTTTTGTTTTTTTATGGGTAATGAAGCGGTTACAGTTTTATACATACTCATCTCATTACTCGCCCTGTTTATTTGTATTATATTTTTATATATTTTTATCTATTATTTGTCTCACAACTATTAAAAGATGAGATTTTTTTCTTACCCTTGTGTATATATAGATAATAGATGTACTAACTATAATGTATAAATGAATGTTCATAATAGATTTTAATAATCTTGTTTGATTATTATCATATATTTTTCGTGATTGATTATTTTTTAGATTAAGTAATTTTAGGTTCAAATTAATTTAAGTTGGTTCCTTTCTCGTCTTCTAGAAATACGAATCTTTAAAGTGGCATCTGAAATGTAGAGTGTTCTAGGCAATGTAATTCTTCGTCTTTTAAAATATTATTTTTTATATCAAAATTTAATGACTCAATTAATAAAGCGGTTATCTGATGTTTTACCCGTTACACATTGGGACAGTTATGGTTTGGGTAAAAATTATCCGTTGGGTAATGGAGCGGTTACAGGGCGGGGAAATTACCCAACGGGGCGATTACGGTTATATGTAAAACCGTCCCCGATCTGCCCCGTTGCCATCCCTACTTAGGTGTTGTTCTGTTCTTCTTATTCTTAATACTTATTGTTTATTCTTATTTTATTCATATCAGATCAGATCACATTTGTAAGATTCAGATCAGATCAGATCAGATCAGATCAGAAAGATTCAGATCAGATCATATCATATCAGATCAGAAAGATTCAGATCAGATCAGATCAGATCAAAAAGATTCAGATCAGATCAGAAACATTCAGATCAGCTCAGATGAGATAAAAAACATTCATATCAGAAACATTCATAGCAAATTGGAAACATTCTATTCTTATCGATTATATTATTATTATTATTATTATTATTATTATTATTATTACTATTATTACTGTTACTATTATTATTATTAGTATTATTTCTTATTTTTATTATAATAATTATTATTAGTATTATTATTACTATTATTATTATTATTATTATTATTTTATTATTATTATTATTATTATTATTTTATTATAATTATTAGTAAATAATTATAATTATAATAATAATAGTTATTATTATTAATTTATTATAATTATTATTGATATTATTTATTATTATTATTATTGATATTATTATTAGAATTATTACTATTAGTATTAATATTATTATATACCAATTTAGAAAGTTAAGATCAGATCAGAAGGATTCAGATCAAATCAGATCAGATCAGATCAGAAGCATTCAGATCAAATCAGAAAGATTCAGATCAGATCAGATCATAAAGATTCAGATCAGATAAAAAAATCAGATCAGATCTTTAAAAATTCAGATCAGAAACATTAAGATCAGATAAAGAGAACAGCTTCTTAATCGCTCAGTTAATGAACCGAATTTATGAATGGTTTACTTTCGACTTAATCGCTCAGTACCCTATGACATATATTTCGACTTAATGAACCGAATAACGTGAAAAGTGGAGTTTTTTTCTTGAGGAGGGGTACTTTCTAAACTTATTTCCCAAATTATGGTACTTTTAAACTTATTTCCCAAATAGGAGTAGTTTTTCCATGTCACTATGCCATGTCAGAGGCTAGTGGGAATGGAACCTACACCCACACGTATAAGAATCACACCCTTACACCACTACACAGCCAACCTCAATAGTTACAAAATCATTTTCAAATGTATATCTCTCTTAACATTGTGCCAGCAACTTTAATTAAAACTAAACTTTATTTTTAAGTTGTGTTATTATTATTCTAATAATACCTCTCAGTTAATCAGAATTACAATGAGCTTCATGAACGAGATTTGTAAATGATTTTTAAATGGGAACGGAGGGAATATATAAATATAATACACTTATCTAGCTGTTAATATTAATTTATATAAAAATCATATTTACGCTCAGAAAAATTCAATACTTTATTATGACTTAGTAATTGGAACTAATAGTTGATACTTATGAATAAAAAATGGATCATAAGCATCATTTTTGGTCAAAAATGAAGTTGGTCGGACATTATTCCAGATTGACCGGTTTGATTTGAAATCTACTATATAATATATGTGTGTGTATGTATATATAGACACTTTGTATTATGGGATAAATAATTATTAATGTATGTATATATAGACACTTTGTATTATGGGATAAATAATTATTAATTTATTATTATTGTTTTTGTTGTTGTTATTAATGTTATTATTATTCTCAATACAATAATAATAATTATTATTATTTATCCAATAATATAGAATGTTTATACATAAATACATACATATGTATAATCTTATGCTATCCTATATACCTAATCCTATATACCTAAAAGCAGAATCCTGCTCTCCCAAACCTTTCCCGCTTCTCTCCCTCATTTAATCGCCTCTCTCCCTATTTACTGCGTTATGGACGGTTACGGACCTTCTTCCTCAATCTTACGTTTCCTTCTCCGGTCACAAATTAAGCGCAATCAACTCTTCCTCAATCGTGCGTTTCTTCAATTTTACTTTACAACCTGCGAATCCTTCCATTTTTATTTTACATCCAGCGTACTTAACTCATCGTGCCACCGCAAATTGGTCTCCTAACGGTATGAATGTTATGTAGTACGACTTATCTTCTTCTCTATCACACATGTGCAATCTTCCCTTAAAACCAGCGAATCCTTCCATTTTTGAATCCTCATATCAAATTTCGATCAACCTTAGCAGAATCAGATTAGCGAGGAAGACAAAGCAGTACTGCTGTCGAGCAAGCTTAGCTGGTCCTATGTTTCCTCAAATCAGCCTCCACCTCCAGGCTCGAATTTGCATCCATATTCCAGACCTTCATTACCCTTCCCGTTCCTGGTGATTGTTGCTTTGGATTTCACTTTTATTCCTTTTTTGTTTTAATACTATCGTAAGTTTCTCTTCAATTCTGCGTTGGTTTATAAGTTTGTGTTCTCTGATCTAATCTGTTTTTCACTCTTGGTGTCATTTTCTATGTTTTTTTTCAATTGTTACCTTAGTGGTTCCATCAATTGCTTCAATTTCACCCCTATTTTTTCAAATGTCTAGAACTGCAAAAACTTTTTATACATTTTCTAGGTGAAAGCTACACTTTGGGTCTAAAAGGTATGACCTGAATGTCATAATTTGATATTTCTCCTACATTTATTGGACAAATGCTCCCATAATTAGATTCAACTTGAATGATACTTGCACTTAGTAATATTTCTTCTCTTATTCAATTTTATTTTTTGTAATGTATGATTCTAATTGATTTCATGTTGTGCTTTTTTTATACTTTTGGTCATACTTTCCACTTTCCATTCACTATAAGGTCCTATGTAATAGGGGCTGACTGGGGTGCATCTATAGAAACAATGATGAACCACTTGCAGGTATATCAAATACATCTATGAAAACGGTCATGTAAATTTTAATAAGTAGGGCTACTAACTGTTATTGTAAATAGTTACATTACAAATGGTCATATATTGTCATTTGACCTATGAAAATGGTCATATTTTAAGATGAGAATGAAACAATTTTATAGGGAGCAATTAGGAGTTCCGGTTTCTGGTTCACCTAGCAATTATATTAGTTTTTAAAAATTTCTACATATGGCCGTATGGGTGAATGAAGTCAACCGAACATCCATACTTTTCGTGCTAATGAGAATACTAGCTTCTTTGTTGTGAAAGAGATATCCATTATTAACTTTTGTTCTGTAACTTGAGCTTTGTTATGTACTCCGTATAAGATTTCATTTTTAGTTTTGGTTGATTGATATTTCATTTTCGTACCGAATGAAATAACAGTGATTTGCATATTGTTTACGTCGGCAAACATCATTTCCATTTTCTGTTTGAGAGAAACATTTTTGCTTTGGATCAAACTTTTAAACTCAGCCTATAAATTAGTGTTAACATTGATCTTATTTGGTTCTCCTTGAAAGTTTTTCACTGTGGATTCTTTCATTCTCCTATGACCGATAACAGTCTTCTGTTTTACTGTTCTTGGTTCCTATTATATTCTTTTATCAGGTAAAGAAGTAGATTTTTGTGGCCTTTATAGAGTTTTATGGCTAATTGGAAGAAAATTTTTATAGAATGATTGTCTTTGCTTCACTACAAATTTAATAAGAAGGTAGCATATTTCTTTTTCATAGATGGTCCTATGTTTCCTCAAATCAGCCTCCACCTCCAGGCTCGAATCTGCATCCATATTCCAGACCTTCATTACCCTTCTCGTTCCTGGTGAGTGTTACTTTGGATTTCACTTTTATTCCTTTTTTGTTTTAATACTATCGTAAGTTTCTCTTCAATTCTGCTTTGGTTTATAAGTTTGTGTTCTCTGATATAATCTCTTTTTCACTCTTGGTGTCATTTTCTATGTTTTTTTCAATTGTAACCTTAGTGGTTCCATCAATTGCTTCAATTTCACCCCTAATTTTTATACATTTTCTTGGTGAAAGCTACACTTTGGGTCTAAAAGGTATGACCTGAATGTCATAATTTGATATTTCTCCTACATTTATTGGACAAATGCTCCCATAATTAGATTCAACTAGAATGATACTTGCACTTAGTAATATTTCTTCTCTTATTCAATTTTTTTTTGTAATGTATGATTCTAATTGATTCCATTTTGTGCTTTTTTTATATGAAGTTGGCTTGATATGATTCCCGTTAGGCCGATTTGATTTGAACTCTACTATATACTAGTTACTCCACCCGTGCGTTGCACGGGAGTGAAGTACCTACGTAATACTACCTCTTTCTGAAAAGGTTTGTCATATTGACTTTTCTTGATCAATTATGACAAACTTTGGACAATGATTTTTATTACGAAGTATTATATTTGCATATAACTTTTAAGCTTTATACTTTTATGAAAATATTTTAAATAAAGAACATTTTGATATAACTTTCATATTCTGAATAATTTCATATTTAACAATA